GGCTGGGCCTCTTAACAGTTCAGATCACCTTCTGGGGATTTATCGCTGTCTAATTGTAAGCCACTTCCCCAGTGGCCTATGGGGACCCAGGCCGGCACACTACTCCAGGTTCTAGCACAGGGATCACCATGTCTCTAACAAAACTGCTTTCAGTTTCCTGGGCCACTTCCCTGCAGCCCCAGCCTTCACCAGTGCATCAGGGCTCTTCTATATTCAGCCAGGAGCTCTTCCTCTCTCTCCCAGTCCCTGCCAGCACTGAGCTGTCCATGGTGCTACAGTTCCCTTTAGCCAGCCAGGAGCATCATCTGAACTCCTCTGACACAAGCAAGGAACTGATGCTGGTCTGCACTGTAGCTCCTTTTATACTAGCCTGCAACCCTCTAATTGGCTAGCCCCTTGTAGCCTCCTGATTGGCTGCCGATTTCTATAGGCTGCTTGAAGGACTTAGCTCCACTTCTCCTTTCAGGACCCTGAGGCAGGATCCTGAGGCCTCCTGCAGGGGGCTTCTGGGCCCTAGTCATAGGGTGCATAAAAATGAAATCCAGTCTGCACTTCATACAGTGCATGAACTGAAATGATTACTACTGTAACAAAGGGAACATGTGCTATGTGGGATCACACCAGCCCTGTGAATTTTTTTCCTTCCTGCTTTTCACAAAATACTTGAATACATATAGAGCTATTATATTTATCTAGACCCAAGTTCCCATTTGATTCTCTTCCTGTTTCAGTAGCAATTGCCATGTGTATGTGATTAAAACTATAGATGAAATCATTTTCGTCCTTTGTCCAAATATAAAAAATTCCACTCACAGCAGTGTTCAGATAGGCCCAGTACTGATGTAGGGCCTGATCACTGTCCCATGGAAGTCAATTTCAGAATCCCCATTGGCTTGACTAGGAAGAAAACTGGGCCCATTATTGTATTATTCCATTCCTTCATATTAGTGGAGATGCCTAGTATCTTCATGGTTTTCTGGCTATTGAGATACATAGAGCACAAAATTCAATGTAAATGAGAGCGCTGCGGCAGAAATGTGTACTGTGACTAGGCCAGGGGAAAAGTGGCCCAAAACATCATGTGGAGGAGGAGCAGAATGGGGAGCTCCTCCTCCTAATAATCTAACAGCTGCTGAGTTGCTCTGTGCTTGTTACTGCAGGTTGGCACCGGCACATTTTCTTGAGCTCACAACCTGTTTTCTCACAGTCTGCTGAGATCTGAGCTAGTGTCATGTGGCCAGTTCCAATGAGAAGCTGAGAACCTGACGAACACCTGTTAATTATCATGGAGCCAAATCCTAGGATTGAGCCTTTCTCAGGCACTCTAAGCTTCATAGAATCAGGCCTTCAATGTCTACTTGACATTGTTGAAGTCAATGGGAGGTTTACAGAGTAACTGGAAATCTTTCTTGTGTAAAGGGAACACAAAAAGCATACATACCACTCAGCTCCCACTGAAGTCTTTTGAGTCAGACAGGTCTTATTAATAGGAAATAAGCATTTGAGGGCGTAAATTCACTGTAAGTGGTGCATAGGTCTCTGCACAGGGGTGAATTTCTTTAGGAGTAGACACTGAGTAAAACCGTCATGATTGAGCCCATCAGATGCAAGGAAAAAAACATGTTCTTAGCATTGGTTAGGATTGTTTATTGCTTATTCCTAAAAAATAACCTTCCACAATAATTTTTGGTGGTATTTTGCCTTTGTTGGCTGTATACCTTTGTACTTTGAGGGGAAATCAGATGTCATGAGGAAAGAAGAGAGCGTGACAGAATTTGGTCTTAGTTTTGAGTTTTTCTGTCCTGCTTACATTGTTTTCTTCCATAATACTTTCATTTCTTCCTATTAATAGGGCCTGTCTGCCCCTGTAACACAGTGCCAAATGCCAATCATAACCTATTAAAACAATAATACAGGAACCCTGAATGAAAAGAAGGCATTTTATGCCAGAAGGGAAAGCAAGGTCTAATGGTCATTGATTAAACCCTATTTTCCAGATCTGTGAGTTAGAAAATAGCCCTTTAATGTAGCATTGCTGCACTAAACTTGAGTCAAGCTCATTAAGAAACTGAGTGTGGAGCATGTACAACAGAAAAATTGATAAGGTTAATGATAGAACTTTCAAAGCATTACAAGGAAGAGTACTGAGGACTGCCGATTGGATTGGTTTGATTATAGCTCACCCTGACATGCAACTCTAGTTCCATAAACTCTGCAGCAGTCTAAAGCATTCATCTTAAAATAAATCAGCCAGGCTTTCAGATGTTAGCAGGACAGTCTCTTTGATATCTGCACCATTAATTTTATACCACTATACACCCGTTTTACAAATGATTTCTGTGTATTCCCAATACCCTCCCCAGGCCAACTCAGCTTGCCCTTATGCAACCTTTCCCCATAAGTTACTCCACTCCCGTATTTAGAACAGTTTCTTTGACCTAGGGCATGATGCAACCTCACTCTCCTACTTCAAATCTCCCCTCAAAATTCACTTCTTCTAGTCAGTTTTCAGTCACTGACCTTCTCCAGAGTCCCTTTTCCAGACACTGTCCCCAGAATAAAATATATTACAGTATTATCAGAAATAAACAAAATCCAATGAGTAGCTTTTATAAGATCGTATGAGTAATAAGCCTATCTCATGAACGGTTACTGTTTTACACTCCTTTCCTTTATGCTTCCCTCCCCACCTTTTAATTTTAATCCTTTTCTGTGTTGTCTAATGTAGATTTCAAGCTTTTTGAGGCAGGAACCTTCATTTGTAGGTATCTATGCACCATGCACATATATAGTACTGTATAAATATATACTTAGTATGGGTTACACTAAGTACATTAACGCAGTATGGTAAAAAATCTTGAAGGCTGCTACATTGCTAGACAGAGAGGTCAAAGTCCTTAGTATATTCATAGACTAGAAACCAGCCTGGGCAGTAGCAACACTGGAAAGTTTCCCCCAACAATGTGTCACAACCCTG